AGAAGTGAAAAATAAAAGTCGTAGTAGAAACAGTAGTGGTAGTAGTAGTGATAATCATAATAGTAGTAATCGTAGTAGTACTCGCCATAGTACTAGTAGCAGTAGTAGTAGCAGTGGTAGTAGTAGTAGTGGTAATGGTAGTAGTAGCAGTAGTCGTCGTCGTCGTAGTAGTAGTAGTAGTAGTAGTAGTAATAGTAGTAGTAGCAGTAGTAGTAGTAGTAGTAGTAGTAGTACTAATACTAGTACTAGTACTAGTAGTAGTAGTAGTAGTAGTAGTAGTAGTAGTAGTAGTAGTAATAGTAGTAGTAGTAGTAGGAATAGGAGTAGGAGTAGGAGTCAAGCTAGCCAGCTCGAGCGAGTCAAGCATGGCATGCCCAGTCCCACCCGCCCTCCCACAACATAAGAAGCAAAGCTGGCACAACTGGGGGCCGAAGTCACACCGGCCAGCCGGTTTGGTACAGCTGATGCGGCCGCGATGGCGGTTGCCGACGGGAACTGGCGAGCGCGTGTTGAATGCCGCGCACGCATTGCCAGACGAGTCGAGAATGGCCCGGTACACCGCAGGAAGCCAGAGGTGGCCGGAGGAAGCCCGACGGTCTGACAGGACACCCCAAAGCATTTTTGTGAAAAAGCATTGGGTTTTTGATGTTTTTATGTTGAAATGCTTGCAAACACACGGTGTTCGGTAGGATTCTGACATGAACGCGCGAGTGTGCTCTTTGTAGTATTTTTTGCACAGGATTCGCGGCCTGGGTGCATGACAGAGCATCGCGAGTGCACCGCGCGATGACGTGAAATCGCTGGATTTGACCGAATTCTTAAGATTCCTATGGTTTTCCTATGATTTCAGCAAGAGAGCCCGGGCGGGAAATTTGTAGAATTTTTGTGAAAAAGCATTGGGTTTTTGATGTTTTTATGTTGAAATGCTTGCAAACACACGGTGTTCGGTAGGATTCTGACATGAACGCGCGCGTGTGCTCTTTGTGGTATTTTTTGCAATGGATTATCGCCGTGGACGACAGGACGTCCATGTCGAGAGGAAAAAATAAGAAAAATGTTGATTTTGCATTGTTTTTTACAGGTTAGGATGGGACCACCCGGATGCGGCCCCTATCGGCCGGCCTGAGGGGGGAGTAGGAGTATATTCTAATAAGGAATAAGGATAGGAGTAGGAGTAGGAGTAGGAATAGTAGGAGTATGAGTAGCAGGAGTAGGAGTAGGAGTAGGAGTAGGAGTAGTAGTAGTAGTAGTAGTAGTAGTAGAGTGGTGGTAGTAGTAGCAGTAATACTAGAAGTAGTAGAAGTAGTAGTAGTAGTAGTAGTAGTAGTAGTAGTAGTAGTAGTAGTGGTGGTGGTGGTGGTGGTGGTGGTGGTGGTAAGAACAAATAATGAGCGTAATAGTAACATGGGTAGTAGTAGTAGTAGTAGTAGTAGTAGTAGTGGTGGTAGTAGTAGTAGTAGTAAAAGTAGTAATAATATTAACAGATGTATCAGTAGTAGTAGTAGTAGTAGTAATAGTCGTAGTAGTAGTAGTAGTAGTAGTAGTAGTAGTAGTAATAGTAGTAGTAGTAGTAGTAGTAGTAGTAGTAGTAGAAGTGCCGAAAATAATGATAGTAGTGACAATGGTAATAGTAATAGTATTCAAAATATTAATAATACGAATAATCGCAATCGTAATCGCATTCGTGGACGTAATCTTAATGATAAACGTAATCGAAGTGACAGTAGTAGAAGTGGTAAAAGTAGTTGTAGTGGT